TGCTATTGCTATTGCTATATTGCTATTGCTATTGCCAAAGTCAGACATCCCTGGTCTACAACAACCCTGAAGAATCGGAGTGGGTGCGAAGGGATCCCCCTACTAACTTGGGCATGAAGGCCCCATTGGTCAGAGAAGGCTCATCGTCGTCCAGACCGTCAAAAAGGTGGGATTTGGAGGAGCCGCTTGTCTGCAAAGCTTTGGGGCGCACGCGGGTTGCCGGGCGGGGAGTCAGTTTGTAATGAGTGGGTGTGGTCAGTGCCTTCTGGGCTGCTGGGTTGGTTGGTTTCAGCCTCTGGAAAAAAAGGAGCAAGTGTTACAATGTGGGGATGGCGAATTGTTCCTCTGGCTGTGCTGGCCCTTCTAGGGCTTTAAACAGCCGACCCCCTGCTCTTCCCTCAGCAAATGAAGCCCTTGTTCCCTTCGGTTGTTTTATCTGCCTGCCTGCCTAATTGTCCATCACCTAACATGTAGCAATCATCTATCCATCAATTTATCTATCAATTATCTATTAATCCTCTATCTCCTACCTACTAGCTGTCATCTAGCTAGCTAGCTATTATCTACCTTGTGGCACGACAAAACCGCGGTCCACTAAAGCGCGCCCGATTAAAGCACGTCACTGACGTCATCAACAGCACAACAACAACGACCGCGGAGAAAAAAGGACGCTTTAAAAAGCGCTTTTAAAGCAAGCCGATTCACATAAAGGTTAGCGTTAGGTTTAGGGTTACGTTAAGCGTTAGGGTTAGGTTAAGGGTTAGCGTTAGGTTTAGGGTTAGGTTTGGGGGGGTTAGGTTTAGGCGTTAATTTTAGCTTTACTGCTCACAGCATGCTGTTTTCGTTGCGCTGTGATGACGTCAGGTACGCGGTTTCGTCAAGCGCGCTTTAATCGACCGCGGTTTTGTGGTGGAACCATCTACCTACTTATCAATCCTCTATCACCCATCTATCTGTCTGTGTACCATCTGCCTGCCTGTCTACCATCTTTCTACCTCTCTTGAGGAGATGGGCAGTTCAAAAATGTCTGCAACCAATAAAAGAAATACATTTGTGGTGTTACACGCAGCCACGTTTGGCTTCCTAGCGTCATGATTGCTAGCAAGAAAGGCCTATGTGGCCCCACTCCTTGTGTGTGTGTGTGTGAGGACTATTAACCGCCAGAGCTCCCTCCCCAAAAGTTGCTAGCTGGGGTCCCCAGGTCCCTGCCCTCCAGGTTCTGCCCCAGCTGCCTTGCCAGGGAGAGCCCGCTCCTTGCCTCACCTCCTCCTTCTTCTTTGGGTCAGACATGGGGTTTCGGAAGAGAGGAGAGTCCCCGAAGGGCGAGTAGGTCAAGCTGTTGAGGTGCTGCTGCAGAACGGCCTGCTGGGCCGCAGAGACGTTGGGATCCGTCAGAGCTGAGGGGAAAAGGAAGGCCAGGATGAGCCCGCTGGACCACCGGAGGCCGCTCAGCGGGGTGGGGCAAAGGGGGCCTCCTCGGATCGCTGCAGAGACTGATGGTGCTGATGGGGGGGGGGGAGATAAACACCTGACAGTCCACTTCCAGGTGCGTCAAGCACGCCAGGAGGAGCTGTGGAGGTCGCCCTACGGGGGGCATGAGCAACTTACCCACAGCAGGTTGTTGTGCTCCGAAGCCCAGCGTGGCGGTTGATGTGTTAAATCCAGGAGCACCGAAGGCTCCTGTCCCGAGCGTGCCCCCTAGCTTGGGCTGCGTGCTGCCAAAGAGCGAATTCTGCCCTGGATTAAGGGCTGCAGAAGGAGGGGAGGGAAAGAGAAGGGAGGGGGGGGGGGAGAGAAAGACTGTGATCAACCAGCAACCTTCAAAGCGCTCCCACCTTCCTGAAACAGCCCAGAAGGACTTTGGAGATGCGCCTGGGAAAATGCTTCCGTGGGCCAATGCTGGCTTGGTCGGACTTCTTTTTAGAAAGAGACATAATTAAACCTGGCGACTTTCTCTGTGGAGTTATACCCGTAGTAGAACCGCTGGTGGTTCAGAGGTCTAAATGCAGCATTGCAGGCCGACTCTGCCCGTAACCTAAAGTTCGATCCTGACCAGCTCAAAGTTGACTCAGCCTTCCGTCCTTCCGAGGTCGGTCAAATGAGGACCCAGATTGTTGGGGGCAACATGCAAATAGTACCTGGACATTATAAACCTCCCAGAGAGGGATGTGAAGCACTATGTGGCCTTTCCCTTCACTAGCTGCAGCTGACCTCTCAGGAAGGCTAAAACTGCTTTTATTCAGATCGGCTCTAATGAGATAATCTGGCAAGTCCGATTCTTCTGCTGTTTCTCCTCCTCCTCCTCCTATCTCAGCAAATGAGGGAGGTGCCCACTGAGGCTGCTTCCGTCATCTGGACCTTCTGGACTTAAAAATGCTCTCCAGTGGCTTTTCCATATCCCTATCAGGGTCCTCTTTCTGCCCCTCTAGATTCTCTGACAGAGCTGGCTGGAGGGGGTTTTCAGAATCCCCCGAGATGAATCAGTAGAGCAGTGGTCTCCAACCTTGGCAACTTTAAGACCTGTGGACTTCAACTCCCAGAGTTCCTCAGCCAGC